CCCCAAAACCCCAAAACCCCAAAACCCCAAAACCCCTTCGTGGCAAAGATTTAATAATTTCTTGGAAAACTAGAAAATGGCATACCAGAACGAAGAAGAGCTCACAGTTGCAGGTGAATCAAAATTTTTAGAAGCAAAGAAATGTAGGTTGCTACTTCACTTCTGGCTATTTTAATCAACTTTATGTTACCAAACAAAGAACTTCTAGTTTATCACAGAACACATTATGCTTGGTTCATCAATTCTTGCTCTAAGCTATAGTTATAGTGCCTATTGAGAGCCATAGCAGGAGAGAGCGGTTCAAAAGACTTAGACAAGAAGCTAGTATCGCCTCTTTGCTAATCTCTAGGGATTTCCAATTCATGTGAAAAGGAGTTCAAAAGTCAGGTAATACATTAAATGTATTTTATTTTTAATTTATGCCAAACTGCTCTACTCCAGTGATGAAGTTATCAATAATTTATCTCATAGGATATGAAACAGATCAACTTTAAGATCCATAATGAGTCAGGTACAGTCAAAGGTGGTTCAAATTTATGCTAAATAGTATCCCCATACAAAGAATTCAAATATAAGGATCCTCTTAAGAAGTCTATTACGAAGTAAGATAAGAGATTGAATAACTGGTGCTTAGGACTGACTACAAAATGAGGGAAACAATCCATAATGGATGCTTTGACCAAGATTATGAGAGATCGGCTTCACTAGAAAAAGGCATCTGATCAGTCAGTGATATTGTGAGTCTGCATAAAAGATCCTCTCTGAAACGTGTCTTAGATAGTAGCCCTAAGATCGGAAATCCGTATGCATGAATTTTCATAAATAGGATCAAACTAATGTATAAAAGCAAGAAGAAAAAACCACTAAAGGGAACAAATTATAACAATACTTTTGATAATATCAATAAGATAGTTCAGAAAAACAAGGTATTGCATTCTTTCAGCTTTAGGTCAAACTAGATTTGTTCAATATGAAATCACTGAACTACACTCTAAAGACGTTGGCTGAAACTAAAGGAGGACAAAGAGATAATGTTTTCCCAATCTCTAACAATACTCGACTTTTGGGGAAAAGGCAAAAATCTGATATAGATAAAAGAAAATAAATTTCCACTCAGAAAAGACCTAATACTAAGCCTTCAGGCTGGTAAAACACCTGAAAGATGTAGATCACTTACAAAATCCTGCATTCAGCCCCAAATAAACACTAAAATGCTGCGTATAAAACATATGAAGGCCAGACCAAGCCCTGAAGACCCCTGATCATCAACTTCCCTCCTCCTAAACTCTTTCTCCAGCCAGCATCACCAGTCCCAACCTGTTCAATCCTTACTCCAAGCGAGGTCAAAATCTATCCCATCCCACAAGAAGCCCCTTTTAAACCCAATTCTGCCCTCCCAGGTCAACCCTTCCTTCATAATTACGCCTAATACCAAATAAGCCTCAAAATGTAGCTTACCAGGCTAAACAGAAACAGCATTTGGAGGATGCCAAAGGGCCAAAGGAATATGCGCCAGCTACATTAGGAAAAGAGTTAACTCAATCTCAGATGTCTTATTTCCAAAGAACGATGAAGCCACTTCAGAGTTTCCATATCCACATAAACAAGCACCCTAAGAGTAAGGGTTAGCCTAAGATGTGCGCCTAGTGATTTCTTATGAATAAATTAAAATTTTAGGGATTCCAACAAGGGATTCTGGAAAGGGGTTTTGGGGTTTTGGGGTTTTGGGGTTTTGGGGTTTTGGGG